AATCTATCAAAATATTACACCGAGATAATCCCGTGAGATGGAAGGCGTCTCCAAGGTGTGAATTGACACACGCATTGCAAACACGCGCGTACAAACATACATCCATAATCGTAACTGGCTCGAGATAAAGCGCTAAGGCCAGGGTTTTACTGACAAAGACAATTGGAACTTTTTAGCTCGCAGTGCATCACCCCGTCTTAGAGAGCGGCCCCAGAAGATAGTGTCACGTGACTACTTCTGAAGCCACTTGGCTGGAACTATTTTCGTCGCATTCCAGCTCACATTGTAATGCGCTCCCAAATCTGTTTATCACATGACAGCCAATGGAGGGTTTGATTTACAGAGCCAAGATTTGGACGAGTTAAGTAAAATATCACGTCTTTGTGCAGTCACTGGTGATATTCAACTCACCACGCTTGAGAACCCAGTTGAAGAAAACTCATTCTACGTGAGTCGATGGGTCTCTACGTGAGTCTATAGGTCTCTACCTGAGTCGATGGGCCTGTACGTGAGTCTATGGGTCTCTACGTGAGTCGATGGGTCTGTACTTGAGTCGATGCGTCTCTACGCGAGTCGATGGGTCTCTACGCGAGTCGATGGGTCTCTACGCGAGTCTATGGGTCTCTCCGTGAGTCTATGGGTCTCTACGTGAGTCTATGGGTCTCTACGTGAGTCTATGGGTCTCTACGTGAGTCTATGGGTCTCTACGCGAGTCTATGGGTCTCTACGTGAGTCTATGGGTCTCTACGTGAGTCTATGGGTCTCTACGTGAGTCGATGGGTCTCTACGCGAGTCGATGCGTTTCTACGCGAGTCGATGGGTCTCTACGCGAGTCGATGGGTCTCTATGCGAGTCTATGGGTCTCTACGTGAGTCTATGGGTCTCTACGTGAGTCGATGGGTCTCTACGCGAGTCTATGGGTCTCTACGTGAGTCTATGGGTCTCTACGTAAGTCTATGGGTCTCTACGTGAGCCACAGGCTACGACCTGAGAAGCCGGTTTCACCGCTGGCAGATTGACCGCGGGGCCTCAGCGGTGCCGGCCCTGCCGAGGTCCCGCCGAGGCCCCACGCCGCCAGACCTCTACCCCCGCTCCGTGGCGTTGGCGTCAGCCGCCGCACGGCGGACGTTGTAACGTGCGCCCCGGCGAGACGGGGCACCTCCGGCTGGCGCCGCGTTCCTGACGAGACAAACAGGGGGCGCCCTCAGGGCTGGCGCGGCCTCAGACTGGGAGGGCGGAGGTGGGGGGAGGTTGGGGTTGGAGGGGGGGGTGCGGTGGAACTGTCAGCCTCTGCCACGTGGGCCCCAGCGGGGCCGAGCGAGGAGCGAGCGTTGTGTGAAATTAAAGTGGCACGACGGAATCCCGCGCAGGCTCCTTTGCGCGATCCCAATTTTCCGCTGCATCGCTGATTGGAATTGGGGGACGATTTTGCAGCAACCGTTGCCGGCGCGGTGCCACGGCGCCGCCGTCACCCCTCCCCGCGGGACTCGGCACGGCGCGCGCTTCGTTTTTAACGTCAGAAAGTCGACACGTGTCAAAAAGTTTAAGTTGTCCCGCTTCCTGCCCTGACGGAGCGCCGGGCGGCGATCGTCTCCGTTGGGGGTTCCGAGCTGCCAGCAGAGACGAGCCCGCCACACGCGCTGCCTCGCAGCGTGTAACATCAGCGGTGGGGAGACAAAGGTGGCCGTGCGCGGTTCCGGCCACACCACCGCTTCGTGCGCCGTGCCGGCCTTAATAGGTGCCCGCGAACAGCCCTTGCCCCAACAGCCAGTTGGAGGCTACACGGGGGATATTTCTGCCTTTTGTACAAGTGTGCTCATGCATGCGTGTGCTCATGCACGCGTGTTCTCATACATGTGTGTGCTCATGTACGCGTCTGCTCATGCAATCGTGTGCTCATGCACGCGTGTGCGTGTGATGACACGCATGCAGTCAAACCATTAATCCGAGTGCGAGGGGGTCAAAGAAAGGGCAAGATCGCGACGCCACACGGAGAAATGCGCGCAAAAAAGAACATAACCCGCAAATAAAATCTAGCGAGAGAGCGATTTCTTGAATCACGGCGCACCGATCAAGCAGCCGCGATGAGACTCACGCGGCCCGACGGGGGCCACCCACAACCCCCAAAACCGGGGGTGACGCCGCGCCGATGTTCACGGTTCCGCTCCTCCGAGCGGCCCGCGGCACGGGGGCACCGTCCCAGCATCTGCTCGGCCTGAGCCGAGAAAAACTGGCGCTGCTCAGGGGCCTGCGAGGCCACTGCCCTACGTCGCTGTGCCGAGTTCCCGCTCGCTGACCCCGCGCTGACCTCGCGCCAGCCCGGCGAGCGCACGCAGCGGCAGCAGCAGCAGAAGCTGCGGCGATTTCAAAGTGATGCGCGTTTGCGTGCATCATGCGCATTCCGCGCAAACTCACGCGGACATGAGAGCGTACACAGAGACAAAAGTCTCCCATATAGCCTTTAACAGGCTGTTGAGGCAAGTGCTGTTAGCAAGGAGCTTTTATGAAGGCCGGCACGGGATTCAAGGGGGTGGGTGGCCAGCATCATTCCTGGCCGCCTTCATCTCCTCGGTGCTGATATTTTAAACACGCCGCACCAGGTACTCATGTAATGCTGAATCAACCGCGTGGAGGCCCAGGATTGGTTTAGATAAACGTCACTGTTGTTGGCCGTGAGCGGGAATCAAACTCGGGTCGTCGAGTTCGTAGCGCAGCGTGCTAACCACTGTACCATTGCTCCCCACACAAAGACACACACACTGAAACATACATACGTGAACAACCAGAGACAGCTATAAACATACAAAGACACGTGAACACAAAAACGACAGTCGACCTTCAACACTAAATGATGGTGACGCCACCACAGCTTGTGCCAGAAGATGTGAATATTGAGGCCGTCACGTGAAGTGTGGAAGGCTCGCTGCCGGCAGGAGGTCACGGGACACACCCAGGTGCTGTGGGTTAACTGGCGGAGATGGCCAGTGGCAGCTGCACCACATGTGCTGCACGCCGTGCCAACTTGCACACAAAACACAGATGCACATACACAAACACAGTTATACAAACAGCACGGACGCACGCCAACAAAGATACACAAACACGTACACATACGCAATGAGGTACATGCACAAACACAGACACAGGCGTAGACACAGATACAAAGAGAAACACACACACACAGGTCAGCCTTCTGTGCGAGTGTGTGTTTAAAATGAAGGTCTACAAGAATAGCCACCATCCATCCATCCTATCCAATCATCCATCCACCCATCCTATCCATCCACAGGGCACGCTAATGATGCGCATCGCTCCGCCGTGGTGCCGGTGTGTGGGTGGTGGTGGCCTTCACTCGACGGCGCCGCTGCCAAAGGAAATAACGAGTGAATGCCGCTCCGCTGAGCCTCCGCCTCGATTCGAAGTGAAAATGAATTATAGCCCACGCCCTGGTGAACACCCGTGCACATAATCGCCACTGCTGTTGGCCATGAGCGGGAATCGGTTCGCAAGGTTTGTAGCGCAGCGCGCCAACCGTTGCCCTGCCACTCCCCGTATGCACACAACACAGCCACACACACATATCCACACCACTGAGACAAAGATCCCACATAGAGCCTGAACAGACTGTTGGGGCAACTGCTGTTAGCGAGCACCTACGAAGGCCACGGAGACGCACACAGTGAGACGCACACAGTAAGACACGCACACCCCACACCGCTGAGACACGCGCGTACACAGCGCCAGCCGGTGCCACCCTCCCTGCCGCATCTGCGGCCTCATCTCAGAGACGCCAATTGGCAATCAAACAGCGGGGAGAGCGTGGCTGCCGATTTAGGCGCTTGCCTGGCAGGACATAAATTTTGCTGCCGCTCCCCGGAGACGGTGGAGGAGTAAGCAAAGGTTAGTCGGCATTACTCGCGGCCGCGTCACCATCAGCAGATTCCAAAAAGAGCGCCACCTTGCATGGCAGCCCTGGCACAGAAGGCGACGCAGTACAGCAAGTAGGCCGAAGGCCTCCCTGCGTGTGTAAATACAAGCGTCAGGTGTCTGGGCTATCGTGGAATCGTGGGTGACGTTGGAGTTCCTTGCCCAGTGGGTGTGATTGTCGGAAACACATCGTGGATATCATTGTACAATAGTTATCACTGGATATCATTGTGCGGTAGATATCACTTTAAAGATTGGGTATCAACGTATCACAGACATCACTGTGGCTATCACTGTAGATTGGGTATCGTTTCACATGGGGTGTTACTGCACGACGGGTATCGATGTAGTGCCGCCTATCACTGCCGCGACCCTTGGCCCCCCCCCCCCCCCCACCGAGAGCTGCAGCTCGAGTCTTTCCGCCCCCCCACCCTCTCACCCCGCTCCCCCAGCGCTCCACAGATCGGGCGCCAACGCGGCATTGCTGCAGTGTTGGCGCCCGCGTGCCGCGTTACGCAAGCAGACGAGAGCGATGGTGACAGTTTAATCACAGCCGGCTCGGGGAAGGAATTAGCGGGCGAAATTACAGCGAGGAGATGTCGGGCAGAGGCGCGTTGCCTCCGTCACTAGATTGAGTCGAGGCAACCCCAGCCACCACCACCACCACAACCGCCCCTCCCCTTCCACATAGCCAGACACCCTCATCGCCGCCCTCGCCACCACCACCGCCACCGCCACAACCGCTCCCCCCCCCGCCCCTCCACATAGCCAGACACCCTCATCGCCGCCCTCGCCACCACCACCGCCACCACTAGCCGGCGTTGCCATTATTTTCGAGGGACACGACTCTTCTCGGTTGTGACGATTCATCGAGTCCCTGTGCGTGTGTGAATGAGAAGCACGTTGTGGATACCCCCCCCCCCCTCGGCTGCTTCCACACACCCCCCCCCATCCCCACAGAATGAATGGTAGTTGCCACCATTGTCACTGCTACGTGTGTCACTGCTACGTGTGTCACTGCTACGTGTGTTACTGTTCCGTGTGTCACTGCGACTGCCGCCGGCGGGGCTCACTTGAGGGAGAGGGAGAAGTCGTTCTTGCTCGTCTCGCTGTTCCGCAGCAGGTAGCTCGACTCCCGGCACAGCCGCAGCAGGGCCTCGGCGTCCGACCGCCCGATCGCGCCGTGGTACCAGCTGCGTCGCCAGCGGGGGGTCGCCAGCGAAGGGGGTTGCCCAAATGGAACACACGGTGGGGGGGGGGGGGGGAGTATGACATGGGATTTTGAAGACGGATTGAAAGATTATTCGTGACAAATTCAACGCGGGATGTGACCGATCTCAACAGAGCCCCCCCCCCCATCACTGCCCTCTGCCCCCCCGCCCCAACTTGCCCTGACCAGCGCGGTGAAGTGCGGTCAAATAAACGCCGCAATCCGCGTGCAGAGCAGAGAGTGCACAGAAGGGTCGCACACGACACCGTGAGAGGCCATTCAGCCTGTAAGTCTATCTCTCTTGCAAGCGAGACCTGGAATAGAAAACCAACCGCACTAAGTAGAAGAGGGATACGTGTTTATATCATTAGAAATGAACATTGAAATCCCTGGCCTGGCTGCCCCAACCCTTCTTCCCTAACCTAGGTTTTGTTGTTGTCTCAGTGCCTCGCGACTGCTACAAGCGTAGGCGCCACGTACATTTGAAAACAGGAGAACCCAAAACCCTTCGTGTTTGCTGCCGGCCGCTCGACACCGCGGGCCTCGGGGCGCACTCGGCCGCGGCGATTTCTGGCGGCGGCGCGACTCACGCTTGTCGCTCGAGCGGCACGGCGGGGTCCACCCTCTCGCCGGAGGAGGACGAGGAGGACGAGGAGGAGGACGAGGAGGACGAGGAGCCGTGCTCGGGGGGGCTGTGTCGTCGCGAGGCCTTCTTCCCGCCGCTGGGGTTGCGCGGCCGCTCCTCGGGGCCCTGGGGCGGCCGCCCGCGGTCCGCGCCGGTGGCCGGTGGCGACCGCGTCTTGTCCACGCCGTCAAACTGGACTGCAGGAGTGGCGGCGGTGGGGCGGTTAGCGGTCAAAGTGAACCAAGGAGGGTCCGCAATCTCTCGCACACCTCCACGTGGGTGGCTCACGCATGTTCAATAATAATAGTGATGATAAATAATAATAATAATAATGAAGTCCTTAAATAATATTGCCCTTGATATGTTGTTGAGGCCACTGCTGGACAAGGCCAACGAAGGGATGGGACGGAGGCCTCTTCCCAGCACGGGAAAGTTACCGACTGCTGCTGCTGCTGACAACGTCCCAAACATCATATTGAGATGTTTGGCCAATTCCATGAAAGAGCGGGTGGCTTTGCTTGGGAGGAAACTGGAGAACACGCAGAAAACGATGCACGCAAAGGCCTGCACAGAAAGATGCAACAATCCACTGCTGTGCTGTGATTGATACAGCAACTCCTCACACATCCAAATACTAACCAAGGTCAAACCCGCTTAGCTACCGAGATCTGATGAGGTCATGGGTGACCAGGGTGACAAGCAACGCCAAACCCGATCTGGCTTCAACCTATTTGGGATTCATCGGTGGCGTGTGACCTCTTTAAAAAATAGCTCTCGTTAGTGTATTTTATACAGCCTTTTGTCAATTCACTGCTGGATGAGGACCTCGCCATGCCATGTGGATAGCTTAGGGAAACATGGTTGAGAGCCACGCACAAATGTTACAGGGCCCGAAGATTGCGTTGCAGCAATTCCGTCAGTGGAGTAGAATTCAATTGTGAAAATAGAGGCATTACGTGCTGCTCCGTAGGGATGTGGGTAATAATTTGTGAGGGCAGGGTATAATTTTGTTAAGAGTTGGTGCTCGTTTCGTTTTAATGATGAACCGCCGAGATGAATGTGGATCGACGCGAGGTAGGAGCAATTCAGAGAAAAATCCTGCTTCATCATGACGGAGCGCCACATGGGATGGCGAGAGAGGGAGCGAGACTGAGCGAGCGAAAGAGCGAGAGACCGTGAGAGAGCGAACGAGAGTGAGTGAGAGAATGAGCGAGAGAGTGAGAAAGTGAGCGAGAGAGCGAGTGAGTGAGTGAGAGAGTGAGCGAGAGAGCGAGAGAGAGAGAGTGAGAGAGTGAGCGAGACTGAGAGCGAGCGAGTGAGGCAGGCAGCGACGTGCGCGATCGCTCCACTCGCGTAGTAAACGTTCGCCTGAACAAGCGGCGGTTTTATCCCCTAATTTTTAACGCTTCGTGGACCCTTTACCAGAAGCAGCCATAAAACGCACAAAGCAGCAGCAGCAGCAGCAGAAGCAGCAGCAGGGGAGCAGTTGGCAAGTGAACAGCCCGCTGCAGTTAAGCTGTTCCAAGAGGCGTCCGACACAGACATAAAGACTCGCGACCCCCACAGCCGCCCCCCCCCCCTGCCCGCGCTGCCTCTACCTGCGAGATGCGTCTCTCTGACTAAGGCGCAGCGGCTGGACCGGGCCCAGCCACTCAGCCGGCCGCTCGCCCGGAATGATGCCAGATCCATCCGGACGCCCACTTATAATCCCCCACATCAGCCGACGCCAAGATGTAAAATGCGGCAATAAATCTCTGCTCGTGCGGTGTGGGGAGAGGAGGGGGGAGGGATGTTGCTGCGTGTTGGAGAGCTGCCCAAACCCTCACGCCCCCACCCCCTAAACCCCCATCGCCACTACCCCCCCCCACCCCACCCAAGATACCACATCTCTCTTGCGCAACAGAGGTGACAATGCACTGCTAGATGAGCACCCTTGCCGTGCCATGTTGGTCGTGGCAGTTGTTTGACTGGTGTGGTGAAGTATGGTCAAATAAGGGAGGGGCGGGTAAAGGGAGGTCGGAGAGGGGTGGGGGTGTAACGGAGAGGCTCAAGGGCAGCGTGCACGCCGCCGGCACGGATGAGAAGCGGTGGAATTCCTTCATGGCGCAGGACTACAAATGATCAAAATTGTTAAACTTTGGTCATACAACATTGATGGTGCGCGAGGATACTCAATGAAACATTAATGCGCATGACTCACGAGAGATACAGGCTTACGTCGCTCGCACAAACAGCGCCAACACCGACTACCGGAGCCTCCGCGCACAGAGTGGGGGGCTCGGTGATGCAGAGTGGGGGGTGGGGGGAGCTCAGACTCCGCCGAGAGTGGGAACGACTCGGCAGACAAATCGAGAGGCGACTGCTGCCTGGCGATGGGCGCTGGCCACGCCGGTTGGGGCGGGGAGGCTCGGCGCCCCCCGCCGCCACCCCCACCCCGTGGCGATGCGACGGGCAGCGCCGCTCATTACCCACGCAACCTGTCGCCGCACGGCTGCACCTGCTGCGTGCGCGCAATTTACTCCGGCACGGAGGGGGGCTCGGAGGTGGAAGGGGGGTGGCGGCGGCGGGGGGGGGGGGGGAGTTGCTGCACCGGTGAATGGAGAGCGCGAAGATTGCAGCGAATTATCGCAACAACAAACCTCACCGCATCCAATTTCCGCCGGAACAAAATTGGCCGGCGCTTAAGAAATTCAAACGAACGCGCCGGGCGTTCACCAGGCGGCTGCCGGCGCCGCCGTTGCGTCGTCGGCGGGAGGAGCGAATCGCGCGGCACAACTCGTGGCGGTGGTGCGGGGGGCGGCACCGGTGGGGGGGGGGGAGGGGGATCACTCCGTCCGCACCGGCGCACGCCGCCTCTCGGCTCCGGGGACCGCCGGTGTCGACCGTCCCGCTACCTTGCGGCGGTCATCGGAGCGGCCAAACGAGCCGCGCTCTCTCGCCAAGTTGTAAGAAGTGTCCGAAAGGATTCTCCACTGCCGTGCGTGCACAACGGCCGTGTTACCCCGATCTCGCCCTCACGCCGCATGCGTCAACAGTGGCTCTCCCGTGGAGAGACCCCCCCCCTCCCCCCACCATGGGAATGTGAGATTTCCACCGCCGTCGCTCCTGCGACGTGCCCGGTGGACGTCAGAATCACAGTGGTATTAAGTGATCATCAGGTGGTGCTCATTTGCCACTAAGGGTCCTGAAACACTGCTGGAAATTTCACATTCCCACGGTCGATTCGGATAAATCCATGGGACGGCCACTGTTGACTACAATACTCATACGAAACGTTAATACCGGGCTGCCGCGGAGACGAAGCGATGAAATAATCTGGTGCTCGGTGGATCATTGCACCGCAGGATTGGGAGAACTGATGGCGGCTTGGGGGAGGCCTTCATCCAGCTGCCTGCGGATCGATCACGGCCGATGCTGACGACGAGCAATGGCCACCGTTCGATGCCGTCACTTGCAAAGCATTCTGTGAAGATGGAGCCGGCGGACGAACGTGGAGGGGGCGGGAGTGGCGGCGTGCGGTGCGAGGGCTTGCGAGGTTGACCGGGAAGAGGCGGTGAATGATGAAGAAGCAGAGCGGAGTGGGGATGACAAGGAGGTCGAAAGGGGGCAAGGAAGGGGGGCAATGTTGAGAAGCGAAGGGCGGAGAAAGGCACGAGGAGTGGAGGGGGTCACCTTGCTTTGTAAAGAGGTCGTCATCTATCTGTCCCACTGGAGGAGGCCAGGGGAGCTCCCGGGGAGCTGTGACATCAACTTGATGGTGAGGTCACAGGGGGGGTGGGGGGAGGAGGAGGGGGAATTTAACCGGCACACACGAGGGAGAGGGCAGGAGGAGAGAGGAGAGGCGACGATGAGAATTAGCCATTCCGCCCGGGATGCCGGCGGGGAGGCGTGAGGAGCAGCCACGGGCTGGCCGCGTGGGCAAGTGAGGCGGGGTGGTGGTGGGGTTGGGGGGGGGGGCAAGCTGCGCCGCGTCTCGGCCAAACGACGGGGATTTCAGAACGGAAGCGAGAAATGAGGGCGCCATGCAGCGGTGAGGTCAGACGGAGCGTAACGCATGCACGGCGCACATGGCATGCCTCGCGCGGCGGGGCGAGCGGCGTGCGAGGATGCGGGGCCCACGGCCTTCATCCCCCCCCCAGGTGCCCAAGCGAGGGTGGTGGGGGGCGGGGGTTGGCGAACGCGGCGCCGGAGGCCGCGTCGTCCTGCGTCTCAATAACATCACGACCGCACCGCGAGGTCAGAGTGCCGACCGGAGGTCAGAGAGCAAGTGGGGGAAGCGAAGCCACGTGGAGGAGACGGGCCACGTGATTCGCCAACGTCTCGGGCGAGCGACGCGACGGATTCTGGCGACTCACGGTCGCGATTTATTTCTGGAATTCATTCAATTGGAGCAACTGATTGGCCATCTCGTTTGTCTTGTTTCCTGTTGATTAAATTTTTTTTGTACACTCGATTAGTCACATTACCATGTTATTAAATTGCCCATGCATCGCATAAATTGTACACAAACAATTAATACACACACAATCGCATGCGTGTTTCTTGAGCATAAGAATCGGTTTCAATCGACGCATTGTTCCCCCGCACCTCTGATCTCCTTCCCACGAACCTCCGATTAGCGCGGTTGGCTTTGTACGGTGCAAAAGAAGTTCAACATACATACATACATAGTGGTGATGGGATTGTTGTGGGATCTGGCATAAGGAAGCAGCAGCAATATCCTTGGCCCTGATGACGTCTCGGCTTTGATCTCTGTTACGAGAAACTCCGGATCTAATGAACGCAACGGCATCACCGTGACTCGTGCCAATATTTGGTGGAAAAACACCAAAGCAAAGTTCCACGACGTGCCCCTGATTCCCGTTCCCTCGCCGTCACGACGAGCTCTCGCACGGCTCCAATAACAAACGGATCACTCGCACATCTGGGACTCAATGAAAACTGACACAGGATGGGGCAGGTGACCGGCTGGGCCAGACGCCGACACTTTAACCGCCCTCGTCCTCCTCCTCCCCCCCTCGCCCGTGTCCAGTTCCCCCGGGAGGCGGCCGTTAACGGCCCCGTCGTAAACGCTTATGGCGCCGCCGCGCTCAGAAACAAAGAGGCCATCGCGCTCACGGGATCGAGTCTCCATAAAGCGCCGCCACGCGCGCCAGCCTTGACAGGGCAGAGGGGGTTTTTGTTTTTTTCCTAGATC